CGCGGCATTTGGCACATTTGAAAAGCACGCGCTTTATGGATGAAACTCCACATACAATCCAGTAGCGTGGATGACCATCGTACAAAGTGTGCTGCGCACCGGAGTGTTCATTGATGTAGCGGTTGTGCAGTATAAGTAGGCGAATAACAAAGTGACGGCCAGGAAGTAAAATCGGATGCCTCGCGTCGTAGGGTATCGAGAGTTGATCCAGCCTTCCGCCCACTCGAAGTATCTCATTAATGAGAAAGGTCTTGAGTTGCCTTAATCTGCATGACCTCAGTTTTAAATCTCGAACTGCTATGTCGGGTTCGTTGTACGCAAAGAGGCGCATCTCCTCCGCAAAAGTTTCTGACTGCACCAACTTAACTATCTGAAGCGTAGCTTGTCTAATTTCAGCACTTTCCATCTCAACTGGTTGGTCAGGTAAAGAAATATTTGCGCAGGGAAGTCCATGCTAGGCAAGCCTTGAATTTATTAATCCAATGCTCCTCCAAAGTGACCAAGAAAACATGACCAACCTCGGGTCGTAACCATTCAGGTGGTAATTCACCCAGATTATCCGGATGCATAGGCCATGACGGATGGGGCTGAAGGAGAAACTGTGGCCCATGTAACCATTGGTTTGTTTCCTTCTTGAGCGACATCATGGCTATATCAGCCGGGTTCTGCTTCGGATTTACGTAGCGCCACTGACTTTGGTGAGAGTACTGTTGTATAATGGTAATCCGGCTAGCAACATACGTCGGAAAAGGCCCATTAACACTTCGAAGAAGATTCAGAACTACCATCGACTGTTTCCAGCATGTTGTGTTACAATGGAGTGCCATCTCCTCTCTAACTTTCGCTGGCATGCGAACGCTCAGTACGGCAGCAGTGAGCTACAACCTTGGTATCGACAAGGTTCTAATGAGACTGACATGTGATTTACTTATAATCAGAAACTACTAACGCATATATAGAGCAGCACCGCAACCAGCCTCAGACGCATCCGAAAATCAATGCAGCTGCACAGAAGATACACAGCATCCGAATGGATTAATACAACGTTCAACGGAAAAGCTAGTCAGACTATTGGCGTTTGACAACCATTTGTTCCAAGCTTGCTGACCCTTTGCGGTAAGAGGCTCATCCCACTCCAGCTTTCTTTTTACGCAACTCTGTAACAGTACCTTTGCCGGAAGTAGCCCGGGATCATTGAGGCCGAGAGGGATCATAGACTAAAGCTACAAACGAGAGGATGGCTCTTCACGTCATGGTTTTGTTAAAATTTTCCAGCTTAAAAGTTAGGTGGTCCTGGGTGACGTTCCAGTTTAAACCAAGCGCATTTGTAGCGCAATCGTCCTCAGTCGAATATCTTATTCCGGAAACCTTCAGTTCGATGTCAGGTAAATTCGCGACAACCTCCATTCGATTGCTGATCCATTTCGTCAAATGAAATCCTCCGTCGGACAGAACACGTGTGGGGTGTTTAACAAGTTCAGTTGCTTCGTGAAGAGAATCGACACTAAATAAAAAATCATCGACATAAACAGCGTGCTCTCTAAATTCAGCTTTGAATTACCTTCCGCTGTGCCAAGCGTTGCTGGTGGATCTCAGTAGCATAGTTTGCAGGGCGTCAGCCGTGACCTACTAAGCTCTGAGTTCCATCCCAGCTCGGACTATCTCCACCTGACGAGTCCAAACCAGGACGAAACCGCGGTCGTGGTGTGCCAGTGTTGGGAATAGCAACACCCAACTATTTCCATTCAGGATACGGTCCTCGAGATCGGAATGACCGAGGTTTACCTCAAAGTGAACCGAGGTCTCAACAGAGGTTGCGAGTCGCAACCCAACCACACAACGTGCTCCCTAAATTCAGCTTTGAATTCTCTGCTACTTCTTTAAGCTTTGTTTGTAATTCACAAAAACTGTCAACAATAGCTTGTCGTAACGCAAAATTAGCACAGCTTGGTGACGAAGTAGCGCCAAACAGAGCTTTTACGTTGTGACGCATTTCAAGATCCTCTGCAAAAACATCGGGTTAGTTAGAGGCAAAATGTGATTAAGCTTCTGCACTGTCTTTAAACATAACGGGTGCAACCGGACACTGAACATCGGTGGGACACAGTGAAAAACTATATGGGTTATCACAAATACGGTTCAAAGATATTCTCCATAAATTAAGTTTTTCTATCCAAACTATGCCTAACAACTTCAAATGTCCATAACATGTAACGTAACAAACACCATTAGCATGCAAACACCAAGTGCAAACTCACAATTGAACTGTCCAAGGAAGGGTAATTCTGAGCCGGACGCGTTTTGAGCGACGTGTGCTGTTTAGACACATGCGGGTTTACCGAGCTTGCTCCATGTCGACTCAGAGATTAATGTAATATCGAAAGCCGTGTTCAGTTGAAGCCGGACAGAAACACCGTTTATCACAATCGTAACATACTTCCGTAGTGACTGATAGTTCGGGCTAATGGTTACAAACACCACACTTGAAACGCAACGTTGAATACTTGGAGTTTTGGCGAAGGTTCGTGACGGTCTTCCAGGGGCAAACATCTGGTTTCCTTATGTCCCATATTCCCACAACGCTTGCAGATATATCGTCTGAATTCACAAAATCGAGCGAAATGCCACTAACCACAATGCCAACAAGCACTAGGCGGACGACCAAGGCGTGTGAAGTCGGAGAGACGTACTGAATTATGCGATGGCCTGGGGCGTGTAGAAATAGTATGAACATCCACCACACAAGACTCGTTATGCCGTTGGATCATTTCTGTGTCGTGCTTCAGTGTCAACATACGTTCACATTCGTGTACCAGCTCCTTTAGTGAGACTTCTAAATTAGACTCCAACCGAGATAACAAACGTGTTCGAATCTCCGCATCTTCTGGAAAACGTAATCCCCAAACAAAAATTAGCGTTTCAAACTGATCACTTGTGAGTGTGATACGCTGAAAACGTTTACATTCTCTGTTAACAATAGTTGCACAGGTCACAAAATCATCCTTCTGATGTTAAAGAACTTGAAAACATCGGAAACATGTGTTGAAAAGTGAAGTTTTGGGGCCGAAAATTCCGGTCAAGTGTTTCACAGTGTCGTCCAATGAGATATCGCATGGGTTCTTGGGCAGAATGTAATTAGAGTACTTCCCATATTCTTGTGGACCCAACTTTCTCCAAAGAAGACGTACCTGAGCTGCATCGCCTAGCTCACGCCCAACAATTTTTAACAAGTTTTCATAGCGGCGAAACCATGCTTCGAAAATGAGATCATCGTCCGGCTGGCAATGAAATTCTGCCATACTGTGCGGCAGCTTGTCTGCAGTGGAAATCCTTGAATCCGTAGTTGCTGACTGTAACGACATGCGTATTGTCAATGTTTCGGTTAAGCGCTACCGTGACGCCTCAAATAGTGCTCGCTGTCTGGACAGCGTTCTTGAAGAAATTCCAAATGGACCGTCATGGTTCCCCGTCGCCAGTCTGAATGTAACGTCTGAATGTAACTGAACCCACTCCGAACGGGATGCAAGAACATCACCGTGCCGGACGAGCCGTATTGAAAAAAAAACTGACAAAACTGTGCAAACGGGTTGCAAAGGATCAATAGATCAATTGGCCAACCACGTGAGAAGACATAGTCATGAGTGGTGGGCGGTCTAGGTCTGAACGACTGTCGTGCGTGTGTGGAACACAATCACGTGAGGAGACAGTCACGAATGTCGAACTATCTATCTGTGAGCGGCCGTGGAGCGCAAGCCCATCTAGCAGAAAACAAGCGATCAGAAACAGGATTCAGAGCTTTTTATTTTTAGGGAACACTACGCTGTTTGTCTATGATGTCGCATAATTGTACAAACCGACCAGTGCATTGAAACCGAGCGACCCGTCTAGGCCAAAAAAGAGGACCGAGCGGATAAAGAATCAGTAGAATGCCCACAGAGAGACGAACTTGATGACGTGTAACTGTGATCCGCACTCAGAATCAACGACGGTAGTCAATGTGGCTAACAAATGGCACGTTAAAACAGGCGTTGCTGAGTAACAAAACCAGACGAACTCCATATCTATGGTCACTTACGTAGGTGTGATTGGTTATCACGAACCACTGTCTGCCCGTGCAACCATGAGTTTTGGCCATGTATACACAATACAGCAGTGGCCTTTTACTCATCGTATTCTTCTTTACAATAATTAGTATACGTACATTATTATCGTTCTTCTAACACTAGCAAACAAAACCAAGCCCTAATCCAAACTAACTCGCTGATAGTCATTTCCACCGAGCGAATCCTGAACAATTCGCGTCTTTTCGCCTTCAACAACGGTTGTTTTAGGAGGATCGCTCATGTGTGGTGGTAACGTCAAGTTCGCAGTGATGACATTCGACGTCGCGTCTCGGGGATTGCGAGTATTCCATTCAACAAGCTGGTTTTGCTGCGCCAGTTGAGATGGCTCGGTCATGTCCTAAGCTCGAGCGTTTGCCGCGCCACGCTCTATCCGCTCGTCCAGGGCCGGACTGGAGACAACCGCCTAGTGGTCAGTCTTCTACCTGACGACAGCACATGAAATCGCTGACGTCACGTCTAGCCGTAGTTAGACCCGTACGTCTTCCTGCATAGGGACCCAAGGATGAGGGGTGCCCGTGGCTTAACATGTTTGAAGTTCTGGCCCGCAACCGGAATCTGTGGAAGAGTTGTACACAGCATTCTAGTGATTCACATGCCTAATACACTGCGCATTGAAAGACAAAAAAGCAAACATATATGTGTGAAATGCAAACTAGAAATGTTCCCTTCTATTTTTGGCCATGACTTTTTGATGGCTCCACGTTTACTTTTTGAACTGTCGATGATGATGATACTGATTATATATATATATATATATATATATATATATATATATATATATATATGATTTTATTTGACTGAATTACCTGCTCATCTTTATTCAGTCACTTTGACCCAACGTGTTCTTCATATTTTCGTTTCTTTTGTTTCACAAAGGGGATCACCGTCGTTCAGCAACAATACATGTCGGCACATTATGGATTAGTCAAGGAGTTGGTGGTCAAGCGCATAATGACTGGGTCACGTGTGGATCAACAAGCATTGTTGCACGAGGGTGACGTGATTCGGGAGGCAAATGGGGTCCCAGTCGACACACCTCAACTTCTTCAACGGGTACTGAGGAATGCGGTCGGCAACGTCACGCTCAAGATCATCTCGAGTTACCAAAACACTACGGCTTCCTCCCAAGTAAATGTCTCATGTTCCAGGTGACGTCTAACTAGTAAACGTACGCACCATAACGCATTAAGGGGTTCCCGGTTGTGAAGTGCGTGGCATTGTTAGTTATTAACAGCCGTAATTCGTTTGGTTTAATTCACCGATCCCGTCTAGTAAGCGCGACTTCGAAACCTGCTTTCAGCTTTGCGTGCTTTCCTGTCTGATAAATCTGTTCTTCCCTGATCCTGGAATCACATGAGCTCAGTGAATTGATGACTATGAGGAGGGCCCTACCGATGGGCGATGATTGCACAATGTGTCCTTGATGTAACACATCAATCAGTGTTTGCAGTATTTTTAACCCATTAACCGCCGTGATCCCCAATTGGGGAATACATACTTTAACCCGCCTAGTAGCGCCATCTGTCGCTCACGGAGAAAACTAGGATCTTCACGTCTTTCACGGGATGTCGCCTGTGGCATGAAACCAAAAGTGATCATATACATGCTCTGTTGTGTCGGAGCCTCACGTCTGCTTCCACCCACTGACGGTAGTGAGAACACGAACGACCGGTCCATTCAACTCTTTTCATCAAAACAAGCATCAGCAGTACGCCGGTACGCAGTATCGACGCTTCGCTGCCGCGCAACCACCAGCGGTTGCATGTGGGCTGATACGGCAAGGGTTGCCCTGTCCCTACGCAGACTCGAACCCACGCCGTCAGATTACAAGGCTACGAGTCGGCACCTCTTTCCATAACAAAAGAGAAACGTCATCTCAGAAAACTTGGTAGACGACCGGTTATTATAGTTACTATGTTACACAACGTTTCGCTTTTGACAAAAGATTCTTCAGGCGAAGACAAAAGCGCAACCTTATGTAGCCTAAGAAATATATTAATCAATCGTCTATCAAGCCTACTGAAATGATGACTTCCCGATCGGTTCCAAAATATGCCCCAAGATATCGAAAAGATACACGTGCATTTTGAAAGCATATCAGACGTTGCGGATTGAGGCTGATTTCGGTCATGGTCATTTTTCCTGGTTCTTTGTGTGTGTTGGTTACGATAATAGCATTTTTTCACGTCGGTGTAATTTGTATGCATGTCTGCGACTGACCGAGTGGTATGCGCGTCTGGTTTGCAACCATAAGGTCACCGGTTCGTATCCGCGTAGGGGCGAGCGTCCTCACGGTATACTCAGCCCACGCACGACTGGTGGTGGTCGCGTAGCAGTGAAGCGCCGTGACGGAGTGCAGCTGGCGATTTATTTATTTTTTATTACTGCGACTAGTCTGGGAACACAGATTCATGTTACTGTACAGGGAAATGAATATCACGTGCCACTCTGTTGCGCAAGCCGCGAAATGGTCGGGGCTAACCAGACAAAGTACCAAAGGCACGTGTCCCTAGAGAAGTGGACGCCCCTTACCATCGTGACAGAGCAGAGACACACATACGGACGACCGACTATAGTCATTTTCGTTGAAAGCTACCTTCGACTCTGTTGACCGCGCCAGATCGTGGTACTGCTTATCCATGAAGGGAGTGCCTACTAAATTCCCTCCCATTCTTAAGTTTCTCTACCGTGATTCCCGAGACTATGTAAGGGCCTACGGGAAACTGTCCCCTGAGTTCCCCACGATAAATGGGGTTCGCCAGAGTTGTACCACATCACCGTTCCCCTTCAACTTTGTTATCGAAATGATTATGAGTAACTCTGTTCTTTCACACTCTACCGGAGTGGAAGTTTCGCAAGGTGACCGACTGATAAACCTGGAGTATGCGGACGACATAGCTGTTCTTGGGTCCGATGCAGTGACTATGCAAACATTGATAGATAGGCTGACGCGTAGTGCCACACGTTTCGGCATGTGCTCCATACCTATAAGGTGCAAAGTACTGCTGCAGAACTAGACCGACACACAACCAATTCTAGTTAGCACTGAACAGCCACTGGAAGTGATGGATCGGTTCACTTACCTTGGTAGCTGTGTCACTTCTGGTGGTCACATCACTGAGGAAGTTACTTCGCGTATCAGCAAGGCCCGTTTGCCTTTTCATCTATGGAGACGGCACGATATCAACCTCTCAGTGAAAGGTAGGGTGTATAACGCTGTGATAGGGTCGGCGTCGCTGTCTGGATCAGAGACCGGGCCAGTTCGCGGCGAAGACATTAAACTCTTGGCCGCGTTTGATCACCGGTGCTTACGGAGTATTGCTCACATCTGGTGGGAACACCGGATAATCATTGCGGAGGTCCTCCAGTTGGTCTTTGGCAAAAAGCCTTCTGGTGCATCAGTCGAGTTCTGATTCTTAATCGCTTACGTTGGCTAGGCCATGTGCTCCGTTAGCCCATTGACCGGCTTCCTCAGCGTGCATTATATGCCGTGGCTGCGAGGTGGCCGGTCCATGAAGTGGATGAAGAAATTGACTAAGAGACTTGGTCAGGCGTGTGCGTGCCACCTTCGTGCAGTGCACCACGGTTGGATTGAATCTATTGACTTAATCGGAAAATTGGAAGGGTACATTGAGGGATCCGGTTCCTGGAACCATTACCTCGAACGTATGAACTGTTTTTTCGCCGTTACTGAAATCATCAGCGACAACCGCAAAGTGAATATACTACTGAGTATCTGTGGCGCACCAACATACGAATTAATTCGCAGCTTGGTGACTCCCGATTTGCCATGCACCAAACATTTTACTGAACTGATCACACTGGTTTCCAATCACTGTAACCCAAAACCATCAGTTATTGTGCAGCGATCTAAATCCATTACGCGAGTCCAGGGTGAGAGGAAAACAGTTGCCTCCTTTGTTGCAAAGCTTCAGAAGTTGAGAGAATATTATGATTTCGATAACCACCGAATCGACATGATCCGGGATCGTCTGGTGGCCGGCATGAAAAGGGTTCGCATTCAGCAAAGTTGATAAAAATACCACGCGCTTGTTCAACTGTTAGCGCTGCGGCTTGCGGTACACTCATCCCAGAGAATGCAAACATACACAGATAGTTTGTAACAAATGCCAAAAGCTTGGTCCGTATGTGCCCGTCCAGTACAAACCTATGTTTCCAAGTAGTAAACAACCAACTTGTTGCTATCGAACCACAGGAATATCTATCTAATACAACTACCCAAAGTGAACAGCCGCCATTTCGCGTGCAGCTTTGTGTTAACCAGATTCCAGTGCATTTCAAAATTGACACGAGCAGTGCACTAACGCTGTGCAACGGACGAACATGGTCACAGATATTGACTCCAACGAGCCACATCAAACTGTGTCGGGCGCCTCTGCGATTGCGTACATGCACTGATGGTGAAGTGAAACTGCTGGGGATGCAGGTCGTTGAGGTGTCATATGGAGGATCGACAACCCGAGGAACCATTTACATCGTACTCGGAGATGGTCCAAACCTACTGGACCCCTTCTGGATCAGTCAGATTCCAGTTCTGTAGATAAATCATATTTCCTTACCATCAGAGGTCCAAACACTTCCAGCAATACGCACCAGTATATGAGACACCGGAGGAAGGAAAGTTCACTGGTAGACAAGTTAATATCTACATTCTACCTGGAATACTGCCGCGATTCATCAATGCTCGATCGCTGCCGTATATGGTGCGATCGAAGGAGGAACAGGAACTTGATCGCCTGCAGAAGAGCAGCGCCATAGAGCCATTACACTTTTCGGACTGGGCTACACCATTTGTTCTATTAACCAAGCCTGATAGGTCGATTCGTATAAATTGGGAATGTAAAGTTACCGCCAATTCAGTATTCAGGCTGAAAAATACCCAGTCCCGAAAACTGAGGACGTTCACGCACAGCTCGGTACCACCAGATATTTCCCAACCTTGGATCTCGCGCACGCTTATCAGCAGCTTGAACTACCTGAAGACGTCAAAACAATAATGACCATCAGTACTCATCGTGGTTTGTTCAGGTACAACAGACTACCATTTGCCATAAACAAGTCTCTGGCCATCTTCCAGTGAACAGTAGAGAACATCGTAACAGTTACCTAGAGATTTTGTATACCTAGACGACATCTTGGTTACGGGGGCGACAACTGACGAACACCTACAATCTCAGAGTTGTTCTGGATCGCCTGTAGGAGAATGGTTTGAGGCCGAAACGGGAAAAATGCGTATTCTTAGCCCCTCATGTTGATTAGTTGGGTTTTCATATAAGTACTGATGGACTGAATAGGATTGGGGAAAAAGTCCGGCCTATTCTTGAGACACCACAATCAAGAAATCAACATTTGAGGTCGTTCTTGGGGTTGTACAATCACTACTCAAGGTTTGTACAGCAATCATCCACAGTGTTACACCCGCTGCATCGTTTGGTATGCAAGGGCACTCAGTGGATGTGGTCTGAGACGGAGGAATTGGCTTTTCGTCAATCTAAAAGTGCATTGGCCAGTACACCGGCTTTGGCCCATTTTGACCCCGAAAAGTAGAGGACGCTGACATGTGACGCATCACCGTACGAAGTCGGAGCCGCCCTGTTACAACGTGACGTGAGCGGAGTAGACAGACCGGTTGCATTTACCTCTCGGATTCCCTCGCAGACCGAACGAAATTACGCCCAACTCGACAAGGAGGCTTTGGCGGTCGTATTTGGAGTTTTAAGATTTCACAAATACCTGTCTGGGCAGAGATATGAAATACACACAGAGCACAAGCCATTGCTGGGAATTCTGGGTGAATCAAAAGCGATACCACCAAATTGCATCTCCTCGTATGCTTCACTGTACTCTTCTAATCGCTGGCTATCAGTACCAGTTGAAATAGCTTCCCGGGAGGGAGAATCATTCTCCCGATGCTCTTAGCCGACTTCCATTGTGGGAGGTTCCGAGCCCCACACCAGCTGTGAGAAAATTGACACAAATAATAGCGTGGTTGAATTATTCGCCGCTGACATCAACGGAAATAACATCGGAAACAAGCAGTGACGTGGAACTCTCTAAGGTGCGTGATTATATCCTAAGTGGCTGACCGGACAGGATAGATGAAAGTCTAAGAGCATTTCGCTCTCGAAGAGATGAATTACGCCTCGAGGACGGTTGCATACTTTCGGGCTCTCGAGTCGTTGTCTCCAAACGGCATGGTCAAACAATCCTGCGGGTACTTCATATGGGTCGCCAAGGAAATTCAAAGATGAGGGTACTACCACCTAACGACCTCTGGTGGTCTGGAGTCGATCAGGAGATAGAATAACTCGTACACTTGTGTGCTAGCTGTCAGGAAAATAAATCACCCCGCAACCTATGCCTATTTCTTCATGACAATGGCCCTCGTGCCCGTGGAACAGAATACACATTGACTTCTGTGGACCCATCGACGGCTTCATGGTTCTGGTTGTAGTGGACGTACATTCCAACTGGATGGAAGCTCGGGCAACCACATCTATGACTGAGTCGAGCACTGTGCACATTTTAAGGCATTTATTCACCAATATGAGTCACATGCATCGTCAGACAGACCGTGGCTCGTGATAGCCAACCACAGCAACGACATCGGGATGGTCCACACCAATGGTCGGAGACCGTATCCGACAAGGCGCACTCACGCAATCAGTGGGGTTCCTGCATGCGGTTTCTTGCATCTGGCTGTTAATTTCCGTTCCATTCCGATTAGTTTAACGCATTTCGTTCTTGCTTCCATTTTCTTTACATTCTGTTTGCCTTTAGCCCCACTAGCTTGCCGTTGTTCTTTTTATTGTTATTCTTGCGATGTGAGTCGTGGCAACTGGTCCCACTGTGCTTTGCTGCTCGGATCATAGTTGATCAACTGAACTGAAACTATCGTGACAACAGCTGGTTTTGCTCCCAAGAGTAAGCCGTGAAAGTTTAATACAGGAGGCTGTGTGGTCCGTGGTAGATGAGATACACACTCGCCCCTTCACGACGCTGAGTACAAGATAATTCTGTGTTGACTTCCAACGTCGTCCGTTGGCTGTGATGCACACAGCTTCAGTATGCATTAACCTTTCTTGTGATAATTCCTATGTCGTGCGCCGATTCTCCCGTTACTATTTTGCGCTAGAGAACTGAATGCTCCACAATCTGTGGCTACAGCAACCCCGAGGCCAAAAAAACAATGAAACCAATCTTACTTGCGCTAGCCTTTCTCTGGTAGTTGAATGAAGACAGTCGAGAAGAAATGATTCGGCGACACGCTGACCTAAACACGTTCATCCATCTTGCAGTGGTCAATCTTCCTGGGGTTTGTTCAAGGGTGCCAGTCGACCCCACCGTCATCTATCTTTGACCTTGACCATTGTCAACGATTTCGGGCAGCAATTCCAGTAGGAAAACGCAGAAACATCTGCATGAAGCCCCGTCGTGTGCGACGCCATCCGTGCCACATATGCTGAGTTGTTCTGTGCTTCAATGAACCTCGTGCGCTGCTTGCTGGCATCCTATCTTCCGTCCTTATGAGGGTAGGACATTGGGAATGGAAGTTGGATAAATGTTCCTTTTTCCATCGCCGCGCTTATAACATAAGGTTATATTTTTTCGCTCTGATCGCTATCGTGCTACAAGGTCGTTGTACTTTACAAAGCCTTTCTGCACGCGCACCGTAAGCATCGTATCAGTCACAGTTGTGTCCATCAATGGCACATCCAAACTACGTGTCACAACGGCCTGCCACGTTTTTAACCACCGGTGAATGAATGTGTTGCATCTTTCCACTAACCAAGCAATCAAGGAAAGCAATGAAATGTTCTTTATTTGGTTTATTTTCTACCCCATGGGTCTAGATACGAGGCGTTCATTTTAGGTAATGCGAACATGCTGCTACCCACATGCCACGAGCGTTCAAATGAAAAGGTTACTTGGCGGCTTCATTCAGGGAGCCGGTAATCAGAGAATCAGCACTGCTATGTGCAAAGCAGGGGATGACGCGCTTCGTTTTATCACAGCTAGGCAGTGAATTGTGTCCATTGTCCGCGTAAGCAATGAATCTGGATTTTAAGGTTCTGCTCACGAAAGAACAGTCCGGTTTCGAGTGCTTCGTCGGGTTAATAAATTTCGCATTGCTGCTTGGTTCCAAAAGAAACGAAGCACCAAGTCACAAGCGCGACGGTTGTCTAGTTTTGGTTTTACGTAACTCCTTTGAAATAATTGAATTGCTCATTGCTTCCAAATTGTATCACTAGCCTAACCGGCCGAGGGTACTTCATTTGTACCCAGATTATATGCAGGCAGTGATCCCTATTTCTCCTAGTTTTAGGACTTGGCACGCACTCGTTCCCAATAACGTTTTGTTATCTAACGATTCTCTGCTCTCGAATTTACCGAGGTCGGGTATTCTGACGCAGTGTATCTATAGCGTAGCTCACTGCAAGCCCTTCACAATGTTTTTGTTCTTGTTTCAGCTTTTTCTTCGTGCGTATTTCTCGTACAATCCAAAGATAGATAATCTAATCCCATGTAAAGAAGCCGGTTTGCCGTTCAGCGCTGGTGACGTCCTCCAAATACTGAAACAGGATGATCCTTACTGGTGGCAGGTGAGCGAAACCAAAACCAGCGTTTTATCGATCATTGTCGAGACGATCATCCATCACACACAGCCAAACAGTGAGAAAGTGCGTTCGTGTACGTACCCGAGAGCTGATCCGACGCATAGCTAGACTTGTGTTGACCTTCGTAGTTCTGATCACTTCGCCTGTAATCTCACTTATCATCACAGCCTATTGGTGAATTTGCGCTATCTCTGTCATGTGGATGAGGGCGGCACTGCTCGAGTAACAAACTCAGCATCCCGCACCGATACAAGGAATCTACATAATTTGGTTAGCTGGTTGCTCCACGCGGTTGGGCCAATTGGTGTGCATTGTTGATTTTCTCCACTTGGCGGATTATTTGAATCCGCTGCCCAGCAAAGGGAATAGCGACAAGTGTTGTAACATTGCTTTGAAGTCGTAAGGTCTGATTTACTAATGTAATATACTTGTAACCCCATCCATCAGGTAGTTTCGCATGCATCAGAAGAAAACGTTACTTGCATTTACATGCCAACCGAAAAGCTTCCTCGTGGGAAATCCATGTAAAAATGTATTATTAGCTGTAACATAGCTTGGCTGCGACCACAGGAAGACTCTTTTAATTGGCATACACTGCAAAGTTTAAACTAATGGTTTGCTCTCATCTCCATAATATGAATCATGATACCACAGCACATTACTCCTCCGGCAAATGAACATCGGAACGTGCGTTGAACACAGCATAACTTTTCCACCGAATGTAAATCGAAGCGCATCGCAAGTGTGTTGCGCAACGATTTTGGCAACTGCGATCAAGTAAACGTGTGTGCAGTATTGTTCGTTTCTGTTTGCGATTGTCCCTTCTAGATCGGATCACTCCTTATCACTGTTCGTGAAGAAGGACTTGGAACTGTTGTGCCTGGGTGTTTAGCGAACCATGCAAGTGCTTCGTGTATGACTAAATATATAACTTAAGTTGGTATGTTCTCAACTAGGTGAGGCACCGCCCAGCTAACCTGGTCCTATCGTTAGCAACGCAGGCCAGAGGGTTGAAACCATCTTCAAATCTGTGTAGTGCCAAGAGTGTAAAACATTGCAATGGACTTGGCGAATGACATCACAATTCCATCGGCTACCAGCTTGGAAAAATAGGTGCCCAGACTGACTGTGTAGAGAACGATGAGGAATGGTTGCTTTGCTTAACAAAAGGGCACAAGCAGCGGCGAGGCAATCAGTATTCAGTCAGTGCTCGCCGTACGTATGCAGGTGAGGTCATCACAAAGTCCCCCAAAACAGTTCTCCGTCGCAGTACCGGCACCATTGCATGCAGGTGACAGTTATTTTTTGTAACTGTGTGTGTTTCATCAACAGCATTGATCTCGTCTTATGCTTCCACATCTCAATTGAGTTGTCTTTTTCATCTGCTCCGAATTTCTTTATTTGAATCCTATTGCACTATACATACCTTGTTCAGTGGATGCGGCGTTTGCGAGTAACGCACAGAAAAGCCACTTGTCCCATTGCGAACGTTTCAATGTCACCTATGAGCGCCTAGTGTAGAAACGGCAGCAACTTCATTAATCGGAGCGCACACTTTCAGCCAAACTTGGTTCTGAGCTGTTGGCTGTGCTGTAGACTGGAGCTGGACCGCTGCTTGGTTAGTGCACGTTCTGATAATCGTAATGCATCGAGCTTCTAATACTACTCAGTAAGATACGCCTGGCTGACCTGAAAACCCAGCACCTTTCACCAGTCCAATTCCGTAGACTTAGCAACTGGCTCATCTGGTTTCCATAGGACGACTGAGGTTCTTATTGCCCATACTTAGCACATATGTTTGGAGTAGATTAACGCTTTTTAAGGTCACTGAGACATTTTTGCACGACTTTCGACTTATTCTCCACTTCTCCGTCGTTAGCATGCAGCTAGCCTGTCAACCGAGTGCCTGTGCTCCGTAGGGTGTTAGTATGCGAAGATCGCCACCTATCGTTTCACATAATTCTGGCCTTCCATGTACGTTTCATCGGGCATTTGATTGTTCATAAGCTCCACCCGGTACAGAAAGGAACTGTTATTCTTCCCGGACATTATTCACTCCTAAGTTCGGTGGTATACACAGTTTCTCAATGGAGTCAAAACGCCAGCGCATACACATGCGTCACGCTTGTTTCACATGCGCACGTGTGCGAATGTCCGGCCTCATCCCTAATCGATTTTGAGACTCACCATCTCCACCAATTAACACCGTCGCCAAGTCGAGTGAGCTTGTGTGATTTAGTCGCACGTTGAGTGGACACTTTGAGGAGCTCCACCCGCGTTCGTTGCGAGTTCTCGATGTAACTCCCTTCCTAAAGCTTCACAAATTGCTGTCCGCACACCCTGTGGAATGAGCCTAACTATTGAAACAGGACCCTTGCTCCACCCCTTGAGTCTCCGATTCTAATCACGCTCATAATCGACCAATCGTGGACCGACGTCAGGTGGCAATCCGACTACCACTCTACTCAGGGGAAGGATAGATTAACGGGTCCCGCACGCATCACACGTGTTGACGCACCAATCGGGACCCTGCTCGCACAGATGCCAGGCGATAAAAGTGAAAGGGGGTCGGTGTGCGTCACAGACCGTCAATATGGCCTCCACGCTATGGCGCGGGAATTTTTTCAGGTGCCCAGAGATGGCATCTATCAAAATAGACACAGTGGACAAGGGTATAAAGGAAAAGACGTTGTTACATAGGCCATAGAGTGTTATGCGTATTATGATAAGTATGTAGTGATGTTTCAACAACAACTCTTGTCACAGCCAGTGTCAAAGGCGGGCCACACCTGATCTGTCGGATCCCTAGTGCGTGTTGGACACGGCAGCATTTAACAATCCATGCGTTTCATAAGTGCGCTTAGGAAAACAGTATAATAACATCTGACGCTGCTAAACGCGATGCACTCCGAACGGAAACACGAACACACCACGCGGTGACCAGCTGTCTTGAAAACTAACATGCGTGAGCTAACAGTACAGACATGACCAAAAGACCAATGGATCAATCACGTGAAAAGACATTGGCAACGAATGGTAAACCGTCTATCTGTGAACGGCTATCATGCGCAAGTCCTACTAACATCTCCCTCCTTTAAACTGAACTGAATAGCATGCCACATTTGCTTGGTATACCAAACGTCTTGGATTAACCTCCAGTTGATGCACTAGGGCTCTGATTCTTAGTTTAAGTAAGAACACAGACACGCGAAGACAGCTGTAATGCGTACACACGACCAAGTCACTAGTTCGCTTGATAAGATGGACATTTATTCACATGCATGAGTCACGTGCATTGCCAACAGACCGTGAGTCGTGAAAATCAATCACAACAGTCCTCCACCAGTAGATTAAGTGTTCAGCTTGATGGTGTTCCATGCTCCGCTTCTCACGAAGTGATCGCCATTGCTGTATAGGTTGCTGTATAGGTTGTGGTCTTCATTTGGCAATGCTTCTGGCGCTATCCTTAGAGGTGCAGGCGATGGGCAATGTGCTTGTTCCTCTTCTGAACTCACAGGCTGTTGTCGCAATTGGTCCAAATGACATTGAAGTATTCGCCCATATTCCAATTCCGTTTCCACTACACTGGCTGCTGTTGATCTCGTAATCCCTCAGATCTAATTTTTATCCATTGGCCTCAGTTTAACAAACACTGTCGCCTGCCTCAACCATACGATCCTTTGTTTTCATGTCGTAGCGTTGCTTCAGCACAAACTGGATTTTACCGATCGTTCGTTGCAGAGTGGATGTAATCAGATCCAGCCGAGTGTGTAAACGTCGTCCTATCAAAAGTGCACACGGCGGATGATCCTTGGTAGTGTGTGGTGTAATGAGATATTGCAAGATGAATTTGTCCAGGCGGGTTTGTAAAGTTCCGGACTGTTGTTTGGCTACACCCTTTTTGATTGTCGCAACCGTCCTCTCTGCCAGATCATTGGACGAAGGGTGATATGGGGCCGACAGAACATGCTCGATGCAATTTTGACCAAGAAATTGTCCGAACTCGTCGCTGGTAAGTGTCGGATCGTTATCTGAAACAACCGTACATCGTACACCATGAAGAGCGAAAATATTCCTGAAGTTGTACACAGTGCTCCGCCCAGTCGTAGATGTGGTTGCCCGAGCTTCCATCCAGTTGGAATGTACGTCCACTACAACCAGAACCATGAAGCCGTCGATGGGTCCACAGAAGTCAATGTGTATTCTGTTCCACGGGCAAGAGGGTCATTGCCATGGAGAAATAGGCATAGGTGTGGGGATGATTTATTTTCATGACAGCTAGCACACAAGTGTACGAGTTATTCTATCTCCTGATCGACTTCAAACCACCAGAGGTAGTTACGTGGTAGTACCCTCATCTTTGAATTTCCTTGGCGACCCATATGAAGTTCCCGCAGGATTGTTTGACCATGCCGTTTGGAGACAATGACTCGAAAGCCCGAAAGTATGCAACCGTCCTCGAGGCGTAATTCATGTCTTCGAGAGCGAAATGCTCTTAGACTTTCATCTATTCTGTCCGGTCAGCCACTTAGGATATAATCACGCACCTTAGAGAGTTCCACGTCACTGCTTGTTTCCGATGTTATTTCCGTTGATGTCAGCGGCGAATAATCCAACCAAGCCAATTTTCTCACAGCTGGTGTGGGGCTCAGAACCTCCCACAATGGAAGTCGGCTGAGAGCATGGGCACAATGGTTCTGTTTCTGTTAGAGAGATCACGAATATCAGCCACACAGACAGCACATGCAAATCGATCAATTTCCAGCGAGCGTGTTCACATGTTAGCTTGGTGTGAGCATCGATTGGTTTCGACCAACTGTGTAGTTAACGTTTTTCCCTGACAGTTGTCTTTAACTTCAGTTGTGCAAGCACACCATTTCAAGCAGTGTCAATCCTATCTTCTTACTACTAAGCGGGACTTTTAACAGTCAGGCGACAGAGAGGGTTGATCAAATTGTTATCACGCAACTGTTGCAATATCAGCA